CACCCACACATACTATTCTATGATATTTAAGCATCCCAGAGCGATAAAATGTATATACAGTTCACTCATTACTTACCTTAAAATATTTGTAGTCTTAATGTAGGGTCAGGAGTAAGTAAATGAGATAAAACGAATAAATGAGAGAGAGAAAGAATGAGTACATGAGAGGGGACAGGCGCAGAGTTATGTAAACAAACCAGGCGAACGTAAGTTTTGTAAACAAACGAAGTGTACACGTCTGGTTTGTGTACAAGTTACATTGTGTACAGGTTGTCTCTACATTGATACGGTAGAATTAATAAAGAAGAACACTCCCATTCTCATGTAACATCATTTTGAGAAGAAATGAAGCTCTGAGTGAAGGCAATGGAAATAAGTCACACTGACTTTTTTGGGTTATCCTAGGTTCTCTACACGTATGTTATGTATGATAATCTATGTAACTGTATTTGTGTATACCTGAATAAACTTACATACATACGAAAGGAATAATTTTCTACAGTTACCCCCAGTAACACATTTTCTCTTATGTTAGATTAGAGAAAATGTTATTCTTGCCGTCACTTGTACAAGTTATGTGGCACCCACATCTTATATTTGTTTATTTATTCTATTGTGGGGTGTATTTATCATCTGTTTATGTTATGCATCGTGTTTATTATATAATTTTGAAAAAAAAATATCATGGATGGATTAATGAAAATGTGTATATTAACGTAATATACGACATTTAATGAGACTCGGTGAGTATTATTATTATTATCATTTCTAATATGGCATCACTTGTGCAAGTCGTCTGCTACCACATCTCACATTTATGTTTATTTATTCTACTGTGGGGTGTATTTATCTTATTTATATGTTATGCATCGTGTTTATTATATAATTTTGAAAAAAATATAATGGATGGATTAATGAAAATGTGTACATTACCGTAATATACGACATTTAATGAGACTCGGTGAGTATTATTATTATTATTATTTCTAATATGGCGTCACTTGTGCAAGTCGTCTGCTACCACATCTCACATTTATGTTTATTTATTCTACTGTGGGGTGTATTTATCTTATTTATATGTTATGCATCATGTTTATTATATAATTTTGAAAAAAATATCATGGATGGATTAATGAAAATGTGTATATTAACGTAATATACGACATTTAAATGACTCGATTATTATTATCATTACTAATATGACGTCTGGAGACATAAGACACTTACCAATTTTAATGTGTACCTGCATGCCAGCACAGTATGTAAGTTTATTTAGGTACAGGTATACATAAGTATAATTATCAGAGTATATATAAAATAAGAAATAACTTTTAAAAACATTTGAAATTTTGGAGTTTCCAGACAAAATGGAGAGACTTAGTGCTTACTGAGCTCATGGAGAATGTAAAAAAACAGGGTGGGGCACGGTGACCGTATTAGAAAGTCAGGTGGGGGGAGCCGTATAGTGAGTTTTGGTCATAATTTGAAATGTCCGTATTAGCAGAACGCCGTAAAGTGAAACGCCGTAAAGCGAAACGCCGTAAAGCGGGGCCTTCCTGTATATATTACTAAATTTAAAAAGAAACATTCATTTTTCCTTTTGGGCCATGCTGCTGCTGTAGGATATGGCCAGTTTATTGAAAGCAGTAGTACTGTATACAATGTGCCTATGTAAATTCTTTTTAGATGTCCTGTCTAAGGGCAATGTGTGGTGTAAATATTATGCAGAAAATTTGGAGTGTGGAAATTAGAAGGTGTGGAGGTAATAAAAGTATTAGTCAGGGGGCTGAAGAGGGGTTGAGGTGGTTTGGTCATTTAGAGAGAGAATGGATCAAAGTAGAATGACATGGAGAGCATATAAATCTGTAGGGGAAGGTAGGCAGGTTAGGGGTCATCCTCGATAAGGTCAGATCACTGACAGTGATAAGGATATGTGTGAAATTCTAAATACCTACTTCCTCTGTTTTCACCCAGGAAAATACTAGCGATATTCCTGAAATAATAGATTATGTAGTACAGGATGATAATAAACTATGTATGATTGCGGTAACTAGTGACATTTTCCTCATACAAATAGAGAAACTAAAACCTAACAAATCCCCAGGTCCTGATGAACTGTTTGCAAGGGTGTTAAAGGAATGTAAAGAGGAACTTAGCATACCTTTGGCTAATCTTTTTAACATATCACTACAAACTGGCATAGTGCCTGATAAGTGGAAAATGGCAGATGTAATACCTATTTACAAGGCAGATGACAGGTCCTTGGCTTTGAACTATAGACCAATAAGCCTTACCTCCATAGTGGGAAAATTTATGGAATCAATAATTGCCGAAGCAATTTGTAGCCATCTTGACAGGCACAGATTAATGAATCTCAACACGGTTTTACAAAGGGGTGTTCCTGTCTTACAAATTTACTAACTTTTTTCTCTAAGGTGTTTGAGGAGGTAGATCATGGTAATGAATATGAAATTGTGTATATGGACTTCAGTAAGGCTTTCGATAGAGTTCCACTCCGGAGGCTATTGAGGAAACTTAAGGCACACGGAATAGGAGGAGAAATTTTTTCCTGGGTAGAGGCATGGTTGACAAATAGACAGCAGAGAGTTTGCATAAATGGGGAGAAATCAGAATGGGGGCACGTCACAAGCGGTGTTCCTCAGGGGTCAGTGTTGGGCCCGTTGTTGTTCACAATTTACATAAACGACATAGATGAGGGAATAAATAGCGACATAAGCAAATTTGCTGATGACACCAAAATAGGCCGTCCAATTCATTCTAATGAGGACACTAGAGCACTCCAGGATGATTTGAATAGACTGATGCAATAGTCGGAGAAGTGGCTGATGCAGTTTAACATTGACAGATGCAAAGTTCTAAATGTTGGACAGGTAAATAACCATGCCACATATAAACTAAATAATGTAGATCTTAATACTACTGATTGCGAAAAAGACTTGAGAGTTCTGGTTAGCAGTAATTTAACCCTTAAACGGTCCAAACAGATCGATGTTCAGATTCGTAGTGCTACAAAAGTAGATCTACTTTATTTTACATATTTTCAAATATAACAAAAAAAAAAAGGAAGATAAAAGTTTTTTTTACACTTTTTCAAATGTAAAACAAAAAAGATCTACATTTTTTTTAAATACTTTCAGAATATATATATATATATATATATATATATATATCATACATACATACATACATACATACATACAGTGGACCCCCGCATAACGATTACCTCCGAATGCCACCAATTATGTAAGTGTATTTATGTAAGTGTGTTTGTACGTGTATGTTTGGGGGTCTGAAATGGACTAATCTACTTCACAGTATTCCTTATGGGAATAAATTCGGTCAGTACTGGCACCTGAACATACTTATGGAGTGAAAAAATATCGTTAACCGGGGGTCCACTGTATGTATATATATATATATGTTTGGACCATTTAAGGGTTAAAACCAAGACAACAGTGCATTAGTGTTTGCAGTAAAGCTAACAGAATTCTTGGCTTCATATCTAGAAGTATAAATAATAGAAGCCCTCAGGTTGTTCTTCAACTCTATATATTCTTGGTTAGGCCTCATTTAGATTATGCTGCTCAGTTCTGGTCACCATATTACAAAATGGATATAAATGCTCTGGAAAACGTACAGAGGAGGATGACAAAGATGATCCCATGTATCAGAAATCTTCCCTATGAGGATAGACTGAGGGCCCTGAATCTGCACTCTCTTGAAAGGCGTAGAATTAGGGGGGATATGATCGAGGTGTATAAATGGAAAACGGGAATAAATAAAGGGGATGTAAATAGCGTGCTGAAAATTTCCAGCCAAGACAGGACTCGCAGCATTGGTTTCAAGTTGGAAAAATTCAGATTCAGAAAGGATATAGGAAAGCACTGGTTTGGTAATAGAGTTGTGGATGAGTGGAACAAACTCCCGAGTACAGTTATTCAGGCTAAAACGTTGTGTAGTTTTAAAAATAGGTTAGATAAATACATGAGTGGGTGTGAGTTGGACCTGACTAGCTTGTGCTGCTGGGTCTGGTGCAGTGATCCATCCTTGAGTGGAGATGATCAGACTGGGTGGGTCATCGGGGGGGGACATGGACCTGCTCCACATGGGTCAGTAGGCCTGTTGCAGTGTTCCTTCTTTCTTATGTTCTAAAAGAGGTTTTGTCGGCGAAGGGCTTGGACTTCCAGCAAGCATGTGTGAGCATGTTAGATACGAATGAGTGGAGACGAATGGTATTTGGGACCTGACGAGCTGTTGGAGTGTGGGTAGGGTAATATTTAGTGAAGGGATTCGGAGAAACCAGTTATTTTTATATAGCTGGACTTGAGTCCTGGAAATGGGAAGTACAATGCCTGCACTTTAACTTTTAAACTGTCCACACAGATCTACGTTCACATGCATAGTGCTCCAAAAGTAGATCTACGTTTTTTTAACATATTTTCAAATATAACAAAAAAAAAGTGTAGATCAAATAGATCAAAGTTCTTTTTTACACGTTTTCAAATGTAAAAAAAGAAAAAGAAGCTCTACGTTTTTTTACATAAAAAAATGTTGAAAAAACGTAGATCTACGTTTGGACAGTTTAAGGGTTAAAGGAGGGGTTTTGGATATTGGCAATTTGGAGGGATATGTTGTGTATCTTTATACGTATGTGTATATGCTTCTAAACTGTTATATTCTGAGTACCTCTGCAAAAACAGTGATTATGTGTGAGTGAGGTGAAAGTGTTAAATGATGATGACAGTATTTTCTTTTTGGGGATTTTTAGTTTGTGGGTCACCCTGAATTGGTGGGAGATGGCCGACTTGTTTAAAAAAAAAAAAAATTCTATATTTAAAGGGAAATGTCATCTAATGAAAGGCTTCCTCAGCTACGTATGTTTTGTATCCCTGCTTCAAAATTTTATTCTAAATTCAGACTTGTGTTATTCATTATTCTATTACATAGTATGTTAATTTTAGTCATTTTTGTTTGAATAGATGGGGAGCACATTCTCACTGGTACCAAGGTTGCTATCAAGATTCTCAACCGCAAAACTATCAAGAATCTGGATATGGTCAGCAAGATAAAAAGAGAAATCACAAACCTTAAGCTGTTTCGCCATCCACATATCATTAAATTGTAAGTGTGGGGCAATGCATTGACATATGAGAGTACTTTTAAGTTTTTTGGAATACATATTTTGGGGCAGTTAGTAAGATAAGAAAATAACTACTGCAGATTAGGGAGCTATTTTAAAATATTCTGAATGCCTTTTTCTTTGTAATATACTTTAAATTTGGAGAGGAGAAATATGGACATGGGAGATTTTAGTTAGCAAGGGTGATGTACATTTTAGGGAGTTGTCAGGGTGTAAGAGAAGTTTAGAATTGCAAGGCAATTACTCCAGAATGAAGAACATCACAAGAGGTTCAGAGTAATTGGCAGGTAACCAAGATCATAAAAAGGAAAAAGTTAAATACTGTGCCTCAAGCTGTCATATTAAAAGAGGAAATGTTAAGGCGGTAACATAAAGTTGTTTGAAAAAATAATCACACAGAATTGGAAGAACATGCTGTGCCTTTATCCCTTTCACTATTGACATTCCCCAAATTAAAACCCCCTTCTGTGTTACCAGTTTTGAAAAAAATAAGTGAAAAATTATATTTTAAAAATGGCAGAGAATTTTTTCTTAATGACACCAAAAATACAAAAGATAGTGTACCTGGTAATCACGCTGGTGCAAGGTTGGAAGTTGGGGAGCACTTTACACAACAATGATTTTGTTCAATTTGAGGCCTATTTTAGGCCACTTCCAGTGCTCAGACTGACCCAGTTTGTGACTATTTCTCTAGTAGACTTTATGTACAATACATTGATCATAAGGAAGTGCCCATTCATCTATCAGAACTACTCTTATAAAGTGTGCAGAATCCAATGTAAAAATACAAAAAAGTGCTTAGGCATTCATTTTAAGAACATAAGCAGACCTACAAACTTATGTGAGGCAAGTACCGGCCTAAAGCATTTTCGCTTTATAACCATCCAACTGATTTTTGAAGCTGCGATAGGCATTTTCTGCACTTAAATTAAAAATTAATATTTATAATTTCTTATGGGCCATACAAAAAAGTTAAAATAGTTATGCATTCCAACTGATTGTGTTATTGATTTTAATCTTATTATAATGCAATTACACCTACCATCCGACTTACGACCGAGTTCGGTTCCGAGAAACCGGTCGTAAGTCGAAATGGACCAAGTCAAACTTTACTACTGAATATCACTATCACATTTTTGTAATGACTTTATTTTATTGTTTTATTTTGGTATTTCATGTTTTACTTTACTTTTTATGCTGTTAGTACTGTATTTTATACTGTAAGGTTTAGGATAAACACTGTGTACAACAGAAATAGTTGTTTATTTCACAGAAATTTGGCAAAAAAAACACTGTCGTAAGTCGAGCAGGTTGTAAGTTGGATGGTAGGTGTACATTATAATCTAATATAATTAAAGGCTCAGGGGAAAGCCAATAATGCAGTGCATTTTGGGCAATCTAATCATAAGGCTTACTACTAAAATCTAGATCTAGTATATAATTTAAGCATCTCTTGAGTAAATCATTACAATCACATCTATTGTATAATGAAATAGGTTGCATATGATGAATTTATCAATTGGAAATAAATGCAATGGAACCTCAGTGTTTAACCCTTTGACTGTTTTGGCCATATACGTCATATGAGCCAGTGTTTCAGACGTACAAGTATATACATACTCAATAATTCTAGCGGCTTCATATCAAGCAGGAGAAAGCTGGTAGGCCCACATGTGAGAGAATGGGTATGTGTGGTCAATGTGCACTGTATAAAAAAAAAAATCCTGCAGCACGCAGTGCATAATGAGAAAAAAAAACTCCGACTGTGTTTTTGGACTAAGATGCTGACTTTGAGGTGTATTTTCCTATAGTATTTATGGCTGTATTCTCATTTTCTTGATCTCATTTGATAGAATGGAAAACATATTACAGAAGTAGAGATGATTGTGATTAGTTTTTCAATGAAAACGACCTTGAAATTGAGCTCAAAGTAGTGGAAATGATCTGTTTTTACCAATGTTCAAGAGTAAGCAAATCACACCACATGTCCAATACACGTCAACTAGGGAGTCTAATATTCTTTCACTAGTGCACTGATATTATTTATACCATATTTACAATAATGCAGTAGTCTTCATAACAGTAAATCTTCTATTTTTTTTGTGTGAATAAAAAATGAAAATAGAAAGCAAGAGTAATATAAGAGGGGTCTGGAGATGTGACTAATGAACAGAGGATCTGTTATTTTAGTGCGAGAATGTCTGCATTGTTTATTCTGGACTCTATTGAAATTGGCATCTTTTTTAATTTTTTGTGAAATTGGGCAAATTGCCAATTTCTGACCACTTATTGGGTAGTTGAAATTTGTAAATGGGCAGTTTCTTGTACTCAGTTGATAGAAAAAATGGAGTTCTAAAGAAATAACTATGAGTTTGGTCGACTGGAACAATGGAATTGGCCAAAAATAGGGCTCAATGTGGGTGAAATCGCCAATGCTTATACATATATTGCCGAGATCGCTAACTTCACGGGAGCTTAATTCCCTAAGTTTTCAATTAAATTTCATACTTTTGGTGTCATTATCATCGGAAAAGATTCTCTATCATTTCCTAAGAAATTTTTTTTTTTTTCCCAAAAGTTTTTCAACGCCAGAAGACACTTCAGGATTTAGGGTTGCGACAGTCAAAGGGTTAAACTTAACCCTTTTACTGTCGTGGCCCCTGCTCTGTGTCGAACAAATTAAAATGAAAATTTTTTTTTGATGTACTTGAGAATCTTTTCTCTATGGTAATGACACCAAAAGTACGAAATTTGATGGAAAATTTATGGGATTATACTCTCGGGAAGTTAGCGGTCTCAGCGATGTTTACGCCTTGGCAATTTTGCCCACTTTGAGCTCTATTTTAGGCTGATTCCATTGTTCCAGTCAACCAAGCTCATAGCTATTTTGCTAGAACTCCATTTGTTCTAGCAAAATAGCTACGAGTACAAGAAACCACCCATTTACCAATTTCAGCTTCCCAATAAAGTGATCAGAAATTGGTAATTTGGCCAATTTCATAAACAATTCGAGTAAGGTAAATTTCAAAATAGGGTCCAGAATTAACAATACAAACATTCCTAGAACTAAGATAATGTTTTCTCTGTTCATTAGTCACATCTCCAGGCCCCTCTTATATTATGCTTGCTTTCCATTTTGAATTTTTATTCACACAAAAAACCAGAAGATTTACTGTTATGCAGACTACTGCATTATGTAAAACTGGTATAAATAATATCAGGGCATTTGTGAAAGCATATTAGACCTACCAGTTGATGTGTATTGGACACGTGACTTCATTTGTTCACTCTTGAACATCAGCAAAAATCGAACATTTCCATTAGTTTGAGCTCAATTTCAAGGTACTTTTAGTCTGTAAACCATTTGAAATCATCTCTGCATCTGTAATATATCTTCCATTCTGTCAAATGAGACAATCACAAATACCACGTGAAAATACACCACTAAGTCGGTGTTTTAAACCAAAAACAGTTTTTTTTTTTCTAATTATGCACTGCATGTTGCAGGATTTTTTTCTTATACTGCGCACACTGACCACTCAGACCCATTCTCTCATATGTAGGCCTACCAGCTTTCTCCCGCAAGATTTGAAGCCACTAGAATTTTGGCATAATATTATGGGACTGACAATGGCTTGCAAGCCGTAATATTACAGGACTGACAGTGAAAGGGTTTGATTGGTTTGTAGGTGGTTCAAACATCATACATTACTTAGGTTTGCTTACTGGTTGGAGAGCTGGTCGTAAGTCTGAGTGGTCTGCAAACGAATACGTCGCCAAGCGAGGAGAGGCTGTATTAGCAAGTTCAGCATGTACTGTTGTTGAGTGCAGCCACATAAGGAGTTGGAATGACAAAAAGTTTCAGTGAAGCATTTGGAAGGTCACTGATATTGATAAGGAATAGCAGAGGGTCCAGGACACTACCTTGTGGAACCTTTACATTGATTGATAGTTGCTGAAGAGCAGTCATTAATGGTCAGATGTGGGTTTTTATTACTCAAGATTTCACCTAGGAGAGAGCATGTCCTCTTATTCCATATTATTCTAATTTGAGCAATAGAATGTTGTGGTCTACTGTATCAAAGCATTTTTCTAATCAGAAAAGAGGCCCATTGGATATTTATTGTTTTCAAGAGGAGATTGACTTGATCAATTTTTGTTATTGCATCCTTTGTACTTTGTCCCAGCTTAGTCAAACTGACATGGATTGAAGATAGTTGGGTTATGAAGTGGCATGTCTGTTTATTTACAAGTATTTATTTTTTCAAAGATTTTAGACAGTAAAAACAAGTTTGAAATTGGCCTGTAATTATTGACTTTTGTTGGTTCACCACTTTTGTAGATTGGGGTAACATGCCAGTTTCAGTACATATATTGGGGAAAGTTTTGGTTTTTATTGATTTACTGAACAGTGATGTAGTAATGTAGTAATAGATGATAACATGAGAAGCTTTCGTATATATTAGTGGTGGTATATATGCTTTGTTTCCAGCTTTATTTTTCAGTAACGTTTATAGAGGTAACTTCATTTGAAGTAGTTAAGGATAGGTACAGAAAGCTGGGATAGTTATCAATGAGATAATCTCTTAACTTTGGCAGGAGAGTATGGGATTTTGCTAGCTAGATTTGTTCCAGTAGTCAAAGAGAAGTAGTTTAATTTATTTGCTTTCTCTGTGGCTTGGAGGAGAGGTTCATTAGGTTTAGTTAGAACTATTTCTTTGAATTTAGTGAACTTACTAGTGCCCAATAGCAGAGAAAGTTTTCTGCCATTTTGGTGGGTCTGCCACCATTTTTCTTTTAATTTGAATTTGTTTATTTTTAATGTAACTGATTCTTATGTTTAATTAAAGTGCTAAATCCATGTAGGCCATTCAGTATGAGAAGTAATGGTTCAGTCTATCCACTAATCATTAAACTGATATGCTACTCTCTCAGCCAGTCAGGCTGTATCTGCTACTCAGAGTTCTGTTTTGGCTTAACGTTTTCCTTTCATTTTAACCCTTTCAGGGTCCATGCCGTAGTTCTATGGCTTTGAATTGAGGGTCCAAACCGTAGTTCAACGCCATGAGCTCGGCTCACTCTAATAAGCTGCGAGCGGTAAATTTGGGCCTAGATATGAGAGAATACATCTATGTGGTATGTGTGCACCACATAAAACAAATCCTGCAGCACACGGTGCATAATGAGGAAAAGAACTGAGGCCGTAATTTTTGATTAAAACAGTGTTTTTTCCTATGTTTTTTATAGTTGTATTTGTGATTTCTTGATCTCATTTGATAGAATAGAAGACATATTACAAAAATAGAGATGATTTTGATTGGTTTCAGTACTAGAAATGGCTTGAAACTAAGCTCAATATAGTGGAAATGTTAAATTTTTGCCGATGTTCACGAGTAAACAAATAACCTCACGTCTAATACTTGCCATCTGGCAGGTCTAATATACGTTTACGAATATGGTGATATTATTTATACAATTATTACAATATTGCATAACAGTAATTATTCTATTTTTTGGTTTGAATAAAAATTCATTATGTGAATAAAAAATCAAAATGGAATTCATTTGTAAAGCCTGAAAACATAACTAATGAACAGAGGAAATGTTAGTTTAGTGCCAGGAATGCCTGCATTGTTTATTCTAGACCCTATTTTGAAACTGGAATATTTTGAACTTTTTTTTTTTTTTTTTGAAAATTCTTTGACCCTGGTGCACACATTGAAATTTGGCTTCTTGACCCTGAAAGGGTTAAAATATTAATAATGATAATACTGTAATAAATATTTTATTATAATATTTTATCTTTATTGATATTCTTTTTTTGTATACTGTTGTCATATAGTTCTTTTTGAAAGAACATGTTCAATGCTCAAGATTTATCTTCGTAGAAAATTTCCCTGATATGAGGATAATTTTGTCATCTTGATCTGTACTTTATCCAGCACATTTACATTCATTTATTCTTGGCCCCTCCTCTCAATTTGCTGCTTGCCAGATTCACTCCTGTCCTGTGGGCCCTGTATGGAGTCTGCCCTCACTACTATGACATTCTGCTTCCTGACCAACCTGAAAAAGCAGCGGCATTTCCTGATGTCCCTCTGACGCATCTCTGTCTTTAACTTCCTGCTGTGCCCCCTGAATTCCTGTTCCCCACCTCTCAAACAGAACTGTCAGATAATTGAAGAGGTCTCCCTAATGATAGGTAGTGTAGAGTAACTTTGGGGCTTCTATTTTTTTTACATGGAGCAAAGCTCTTAGCTTGGTGAAAACTGGCAGACTGCTAAAAATAGTTAGGGAGCATGTCTTTTTTATAGTTAAGATAAAAGATCAAGCTTTGGCAACTCCTTGCAATGAATGACGCACACGGTTTAGCTCTTCAAAATAATAATAATAATAATAATAATAATAATAATAATAATAATAATAATGTAATTTATTACAGATACTTATGGAGTGTTGTATATTTTTCAGGTATCAGGTGATAAGCACTCCTACAGACATCTTTATGGTGATGGAATATGCTTCAGGAGGAGAGCTTTTTGATTATATTAAGAAAAAAGGCAAGGTATGCATTTGTATTCGCAATTGGGTATTGTATTGGATTACCAAAACTGTTGTCCAGAGGGCTGAGGAAGGGTTGTTGAGGTGGTTCGGACATGTAGAGAGAATGGAGCGAAACAGAATGACTTCAAGAGTGTATGAGTCTGTAGTGGAAGGAAGGCGGGGTAGGGGTCGGCCTAGGAAAGGTTGGAGGGAGGGGGTAAAGGAGGTTTTGTGTGCGAGGGGCTTGGACTTCCAGCAGGCATGCGTGAGCGTGTTTGATAGGAGTGAATGGAGACAAATGGTTTTTAATACTTGATGTGCTGTTGGAGTGTGAGCAAAGTAACATTTATGAAGGGGTTCAGGGAAACCGGCAGGCCGGACTTGAGTCCTGGAGATGGGAAGTACAGTGCCTGCACTCTGAAGGAGGGGTGTTAATGTTGCAGTTTAAAAACTGTAGTGTAAAGCACCCTTCTGGCAAGACAGTGATGGAGTGAATGATGGTGAAAGTTTTTCTTTTTTTGGGCCACCCTGCCTTGGTGGGAATCGGCCAGTGTGATAATAAAAAAAAAAAAAAAAAATTTATACTAAAAATTGAAATCAACATTAATTACTGTTGAGTAATTACCTAATTAAAAAGCATTATCAAAATGTATGCAAGTATAGTACTATATTTAGAAATAATGCTTTCGCACACACATACATGTATGCACTGTGCAGTATATAGGTGTTGATTGTTGTGTAAGTGTGTACAGATTGCTAGTACACTAGTCTCTCACTAGTCCATGGTTCAGTCCCCAGTATGGGTGGAAACATTAGGAGATGTTTCGTTAAGATACCTGCTGTCTCTGTTCACCTGTCAGTAGAATAGGTACCTGGGTGTTAGTCAACTGGTGTGGGTCATATCCTGGGGTCAAAATTGGCCTAATTTGCCCAAGATACTTTGCATAACAAAGGGCTTTCTATATACAGTGGACCCCCGGTTAACGATATTTTTTCACTCCAGAAGTATGTTCAGGTGCCAGTACTGACTGAATTTGTTCCCATAAGAAATATTGTGAAGTAGATTAGTCCATTTCAGACCCCCAAACATACATGTTCAAAAGCACTTACATAAATACACTTACATAATTGGTCACATTCGGAGGTAATCGTTATGCGGGGGTCCACTGTATAAGTAGTAGGTCATTGATGTCGCCTAGGCCTGTATACATTGTGCATGTACTTGTGGAAATAATTATTATTATTATTATTATTTTTTTTTTTTTTTTTTTTTCAACAAGTCGGCCGTCTCCCACCGAGGCAGGGTGACCCAAAAAAGAAAGAAAATCCCCAAAAAGAAAATACTTTCATCATCATTCAACACTTTCACCACACTCGCACATTATCACTGTTTTTGCAGAGGTGCTCAGAATACAACAGTCTAGAAGCATACACATATAAAGATACACAACATATCCCTCCAAACTGCCAATATCCCAAACCCCTCCTTTAAAGTGCAGGCATTGTACTTCCCATTTCCAGGACTCAAGTCCGACTATATGAAAATAACCGGTTTCCCTGAATCCCTTCACTAAATATTACCCTGCTCACACTCCAACAGATCGTCAGGTCCCAAGTACCATTCGTCTCCATTCACTCCTATCTAACACGCTCACGCACGCTTGCTGGAAGTCCAAGCCCCTTACCCACAAAACCTCCTTTACCCCCTCTCTCCAACCCTTTCGAGGACGACCCCTACCCCGCCTTCCTTCCCCTATAGATTTATATGCTTTCCATGTCATTCTACTTTGATCCATTCTCTCTAAATGACCAAACCACCTCAACAACCCCTCTTCTGCCCTCTGACTAATACTTTTATTAACTCCACACCTTCTCCTAATTTCCACACTCCGAATTTTCTGCATAATATTTACACCACACATTGCCCTTAAACAGGACATCTCCACTGCCTCCAACCGTCTCCTCGCTGCTGCATTTACCACCCAAGCTTCACACCCATATAAGAGTGTTGGTACTACTATACTTTCATACATTCCCTTCTTTGCCTCCATAGATAACGTTTTTTGACTCCACATATACCTCAACGCACCACTCACCTTTTTTCCTCATCAATTCTATGATTAACCTCATCCTTCATAAATCCATCCGCCGACACGTCAACTCCAAGTATCTGAAAACATTCACTTCTTCCATACTCTCCTCCCAATTTGATATCCAATTTTTCTTTATCTAAAATCATTTGACACCCTCATCACTTACTCTTTTCTATGTTCACTTTCAACTTTCTACCTTTACACACATTCCCAAACTCATCCACTAACCTTTGCAATTTTTCTTTAGAATCTCCCATAAGCACAGTATCATCAGCAAAAAGATAACTGTGTCAATTCCCATTTTGAATTTGATTCCCCCAAATTTAATCCCACCCCTCTCCCAAACACCCTAGCATTTACTTCCTTAACAACCCCATCTATAAATATATTAAACAACCATGGTGACATTACACATCCCTGTCTAAGACCTACTTTTACCGGGAATAGTCTCCTCTCTTCTACACATCCTAACCTGAGCCTCACTACTTCATAAAAACTCTTTACAGCATTTAATAACTTACCACCTATTCCATATACTTGCAACATCTGCCACATTGCTCCTCTATCCACTCTATCATATGCCTTTTCTAAATCCATAAATGCAATAAAAAACTTCCCTACCTTTATCTAAATACTGTTCACATATATGCTTCAATGTAAACACTTGATCTACACATCCCCTACCCACTCTGAAACCTCCTTGCTCATCCGCAATCCTACATTCTGTCTTACCTCTAATTCTTTCAATTATAACCCTACCGTACACTTTTCCTGGTATACTCAGTAAGCTTATTCCTCTATAATTTTTACAGTTCTTTTGTCCCCTTTCCCTTTATATAAAGGGACTATACATGCTCTCCGCCAATCCCTAGGTACCTTCCCCTCTTTCATACATTTATTGAACAAAAGTACCAACCACTCCAACACTATATCCCCCCTGCTTTTAACATTTCTGTCATGATCCCATCAGTACCAGCTGCTTTACCCCTTTCATTTTACGTAATGCCTCACGTACCTCCCCCACACTTACATTCTGCTCTTCTTCACTCCTAAAAGATGGTATACCTCCCTGACCAGTGCATGAAATTACTGCCTCTGTTTCTTCCTTAACATTTAAAAGTTCCTCAAAATATTCTCGCCATCTACCTAATACCTCCATCTCCCCATCTACTAACTCCCCTACTCTGTTTTTAACTGACAAATCCATATTTTCCCTTGGCTTTCTTAACTTGTTTAACTCACTCCAAAATTTTTTCTTATTTTCATTAAAATTTCTTGACAGTGCCTCTCCCACTCTATCATCTGCTCTCCTTTTGCACTCTCTCACCACTCTCTTTACCTTTCTTTTACTCTCCATATATTCTGCTCTTCTTATAACACTTCTGCTTTGTAAAAACCTCTCATAAGCTACCTTTTTCTCTTTTATCACACCCTTTACTTCATCATTCCACCAATCACTCCTCTTTCCTCCTGCACCCACCCTCCTATAACCACAAACTTCTGCCCCACATTCTAATACTGCATTTTTAAAACTATTCCAACCCTCTTCAACCCCCCCATTACTCATCTTTGCACTATCCCACCTTTCTGCCAATAGTCGCTTATATCTCGCCCGAACTTCCTCCTCCCTTAGTTTATACACTTTCACCTCCCTCTTACTTGTTGTTGCCACCTTCCTCTTTTCCCATCTACCTCTTACTCTAACTGTAGCTACAACTAAATAATGATCCGATATATCAGTTGCCCCTCTATAAACATGTACATCCTGGAGCCTACCCATCAACCTTTTATCCACCAATACATAATCTAATAAACTACTTTCATTACGTGCTACATCATACCTTGTATATTTATTTATCCTCTTTTTCATAAAATATGTATTACTTATTACCAAATTTCTTTCTACACATAGCTCAATTAAAGGCTCCCCATTTACATTTACCCCTGGCACCCCAAATTTACCTACTACTCCCTCCATAACATTTTTACCCACTTTAGCATTGAAATCCCCAACCACCATTACTCTCACACTTGATTCAAAACTCCCCACGCATTCACTCAACATTTCCCAAAATCTCTCTCTCTCCTCTACACTTCTCTCTTCTCCAGGTGCATACACGCTTATTATAACCCACTTTTCACATCCAATCTTTATTTTACTCCACATAATCCTTGAATTAATACATTTATAGTCCCTCTTTTCCTGCCATAGCTTATCCTTCAACATTATTGCTACTCCTTCTTTAGCTCTAACTCTATTTGAAACCCCTGACCTAATCCCATTTATTCCTCTCCATTGAAACTCCAACTTCTTGCCTTCGTCTCTTGATTGTTAATAAACCATTAGGTTAACATTTCCTAACCCATGAGTTTTGCCATAGTTACTTACTGTACCTACAATAAACCCTTCATAATTGTGGGTACCTGGTGGCTGAAATGGCATTTGTGATGGATAGAGAAGAAATCTTACCATGATTGTAACAATAATGAATAATCCTGTAACCTGGACTTCGTCCATGATTTTGAAATAAATTGTTCCATATATCCATTATATGTCCATATATAGAGGGTTTATTGTATTTATATTAGCCTAATTTGTCATGCATTTTTTTTAAAATTCCAGTGGTTTCAGCACTTATTACTGCTGCTTGTAGACTATTCCAGTTTTGTTCCGGTGTCTGTAAACAACAGCCTTCCAGTATCTTTTAGCTGCCATCTCATTCTTAGTTTACAACTGTAGCCATTTATTTTTTGTGTTGGTGTTAAGGCATCATCCATGTCTATTCTTCTGTACTGTTTTAGCATTGTACATATAGTTATCCTATTTGCAGGCATTTGGAATCATAGGAATATACAACGTAACTCGTTATTTCTTTTTATACTATGAAATTGCTACTGCATATTCAAAAGTTTTTATAGGTCTTCTCCA